TCACCGATAACTTGAGTTTACAGGTACCGGAGGCATTGGTGGTAAACAGGACGGTGATGCGCTCCTTCTGCAACTTCTGGCCCCGACACTTGCTGGCAGACTTGACAACGAAGGTCTTGGTAGGTAGCTTTTTCCAAAACAGACCGGATTCATCCATGTTGAACACCTGTTCGTCGGTGTACTGTCCATCCTCCATAACGTCTCGTAAGAATGGAGGAAAATCACTCACCACAACAGAGTCAGCACTAGCACCTTCACCAACAGTGTTAATGTTTGTAATCTTGTTACGTCTTTTAAACCCTTGCAGCCACCCAGAGGAAGCAGTGAAGGGTTTGGGCTCTGCAATTCCCATCTTGCGCGCCACTGCTACGTACAGTTCACGGGCGTACTCCTGAACTGACAGCATGTCCACTGCCATGTTCCGTCTTGCCTGACGAATCAAGTAGCTCACCAGCAAATTCTCAGTCTTGAGCAGCACCTTGTTCTGACAGTACTTCACCATTGAAGCACCTGCAGACTTTGTGATGTTCATGTGTTCTTTTATCTTGGCGGCATCCTTCTTGATCGTCCGGATCGTAGATTCGTTCACGCCATGCTGGCGCGCCAAATCAACTTGTCTCGTACTTTTCTCCAACTCTTGCACGATTTTGTACTTAACTTCATAGCTTAAAGCTCGTCGTATCTTCTTAGGCTTGGGGCAGCTTGGGCCAGGTAGTTCAAGGTTTTTCTGGGGTGGTGGGGGTCCAGCGGAAGCCATTGTAGAGAGATTAGCGGGCACACGAGAGAATTGTATACGCGGTGATGGAGAACAATGCGACTGACTCGGGTAGGTCAGCGGCTTCTTTTCTCTGGTGGCAGGGCACGTCATATTACATTGAACCAATCACAGCTAGCGGGGAAGGTAGGTAAGGATGTGTGGCCCAATCACAGTCTGATACATCATATGAAGTCAGCGATAACGCAACAGTGACATACTGCGCACCCTTACTCGCGCCGCTTCCCGCATATGGTCAAGCATGGGCCGCGTGAATACAAAATGGCGCGGTGCGTCTGGACCTTACCAGCTGCTCTGCGTAAATGACCAAATTTACAGTGTAATTAAAGCATTGCAATTCTGGCAAGGCACCGCATAAATGACCAAACACGTTAACAAAAACTGCGTAACTCCAGACTATACTGTACAGTACTTAAGGATAAAGGCAGAGGGGTTTTATTGTTTTGCTTATAAAATGTAACTGACTTGACTTAGGAGAATATAACATGCATTGCTGAAATTCTTGTAAGATAGCAATTTATTTGAGTATAAACATCCATTATTTTGCACCTTACATAATAATGTTAGTAATTAACTTAGTACATTTGAGTACAGGTTTTGATAATTTATGTGGTTGCAGTTTCAAAACTTCATGACATCACTTATGTATAATGAGTCTCCTTATGCCCTGGTTTATTCATTGATCAGTTGTCCAAGTGTAAAAGTAGCCCTGGTGCGTCAAGCCATCATGTATCAATTAATTTTAAAATAGAAATTATAATGTTAAATGTTATAAGACAATGGTTTAGTAGTGCTGTTTATGTGTGTGTTGTGTGTTTTGGCATGTCACCTCACCACCTGACTCCTGAACAAACTCTTCATCAACTTATTCAAATCCTACAATGTGCTTGACAAGGTCAAAACAAACGCACGCACGCACGCACGCACAGGAATTAAGACAACAAGCATCCGTGAGGGTCTTGTTGTGTGACTGCATGGAGGCGAATTAAAAGACCAACTGTTGTGGAGCTTATCGCTTGGCAACACTGGTACATGTTACCACTCCATCTCTCTAATCACCCACATCTTTCTGCTTTCTCACTTCATATTTTAAAGTACTATGTAATGTAATGTTGAAGGGATACAACTTTGCTCGTTTATACAGTGGTCCCTCAGTTAACGAGCACAATTCGTTCCAGAAGGTTGCTCGTTAACCGAAATTTTTTTTAACCGAAACCATTGTTTCAATGGGTTTTTGGGTAATTGGTTCCAGCTCACCGAAAATTGCCTAAAGTCAACAAAAAAGGTAGTAAAGTACACTTACTTTGAGGTGTGTATGTAGAAGGCTTCTGGATGATGATGCTGATCTGAATTTGAAGTGGGAGGTGGAGGAGAAGGGAGAAGAGAAGGAAGTGGAGGAGAAGCACTTTACTGCTTCTTGGAAGGTGAGTCACCTTCCATGAAAATGTCAGGAACCTCTGAACTGACAGATTCTCCAGCAGGAACAGCCTCTCTCCTTCTTGAAGTGAAAGGCTGAGGGCTAGCATCTTGTTCCCTCTGCCTTTTAGTGAAGAAACTGTCAATTTTTGTCTGTGGGGCATCTCTCCTCCTCATCATTAACTGATGTTTGAAGAAGGAGACCACTGTGTCCTCAACATTACACAAAGCAAGTTCTGATTTTTCCACATCTGGGTACCTTGAAGCCAGTTTCCTGAACTTCTCCCAGTGGTCAACAACATCTTTCAAATCTGAAGTTGACATATGGTCATCACTTTCGTTTTCCTCCTCACCACTGTCAGCCTCAAACATCTCATCCAGTTGCTGCAAGTCTTCAGGAGTAAGTTCCTGCTCATGAGACATCACAAGCTCTTCTACATCATCATCCTCCACTTCAAGGTCCAATGACTGACCAATGGACACAATCTCCTGGTCCAACTCTCCTTCTTCCTGAAATCCCTCAAAATCATGTCCTACTGATGGCCACAGTGCTTTCCATGCAGAATTGAGGGATCTAGTAGAGACTTCTTGCCATGAGGACACAATCAATTTTACAGCTTCCAGGATGTTAAATTGTGTCTTCCAGAACTGTTTCAGTGTTAGTTCAGGATCAGTGGAAGTTGCCTGATGACACCTCCTGAACAGTTTCTTCATGTACAGCTTCTTAAAGTTGCTGATCACATTCTGGTCCATTGGCTGTATGGGAAGCAAAAACAACACTTTGACAAAGTCAAATTGAGACTCCAAAGTGCTGGCAAGTTGAGGGTCATGACCAGGGGCATTATCCATAAGGAGAAGAGCCTTTAAAGGGAGTTTATTGGTGGTTAGGTAGCTCTTCACAAAAGGGCAAAACACCTCAACAGCCCATTCATTAAAGAGCTGTCTTGTTACCCACGCCTTACGGTTGGACTTCCAGTAAACTCCAAGCCGTCCTCTTACCACTTTTTGTTGCTTGAACACCCTGGGTTCCTCAGAGTGGTAGACAAGCATAGGTTTCAGTCGGAAATCCCCTGAAGCATTGGCACCAAGCAATAGAGTGAGACGGTCTTTCATGGGTTTATGCCCAGGTAAAGAGGCTTCATCTCTGGTGATGAATGTCTTTTTGGGCATTTTTTTTTCCAGAACAGCCCAGTTTCGTCCACATTGAACACTTGCTGTGGAAGATAATTTTCTTCATCCATCAGTTCTTTAAAGCCCACTAAAAATTTTGCTGCTGCTTCTTTATCAGCACTGGCAGCCTCACCATGCCTAACAACATTAAAAATGTCACTTCTTTTCTTAAATTTTTCGAACCAGCCCTTGCTGGCCCTAAACTCTTCAAATTCTGTGCCTGAAGAACCAGGTTGATCTGTCTTTAAATGTTCGTAAATCTCCCTGGCTCTTTCACAAATAAATTCGGTCGAAACTGAATCACCTTTCATTTGTTTTCCCTAATCCAAATGAGAAGTAACCTCTGTTTCTGCTATTAGAGATCTACCTTTAAACACTGGTAGATTTGTCTCTCACTTTCACTTTCTTGAATTTTTCTTTCTGTGCAAGAATTGTTTATACAGTTTATGTCGACATGCCATATTCTTTGCTAAGCACATTTGTGCTAATGCCTTCTTCATGTTTCTTAATAATTTCCTGTTTCACCTGGATTGAAATCGCTTTTCTTGATTTCTTGGGACCCATGCTGGATTCAAAAACAATTTCAACACGTGATATTTTAAATTTCATCACTGTAAAAATGGAAAAAATCGTTTATGTTGAAGAGAGTCTGAAGCAAGATGTTACCTCCACTGAAAAGACACAGAGACTGACGCCTGTTTTGTGTTTTGATAGGCTGTTTGGCATGCTAAAAACTAGTTTCCCTGCACTTCAATTATGTTAAATAATTGTTAAAATGACTTTTAAAGTTATTGAATAGTACAAACTTCTTGATATTAACTATAATAGTAAGGAATTTAAGCCCTAGAACCGATTATTGTATTGGCGGACTAATACGACAGCTAGTGAGCAAGCGAAAACATGTTGAGGGGCGCTCGTAAGGAATTCGTTAATCGAGGGATTGCTCGTTAACCGAAGTGAAGAATCTTATGGAAGGTAATTCGTTAACCGAAATCTTGTTAACCGAGGCGCTCGGTAACCGAGGGATCACTGTACTTATACTGTACTTATCACAATCTCCCTAAAATACTTTAGGTTTTGTGTTTATTCAAGATATCTTCAGGTCATGAGACCCACTAATCCCCTACCCAAGAAAGGGTGACCTGACATTCCATCTGAAAGTCAGTAATATGAGATTACTAATCCCCTACCCTGCCTCCACCTGATATTGAGTCAGGTCTGATCCATCCCCAAAATACTTGAGCTTTCATCTTTATTCAAGACATTTTCAGAAAATTCTCTCAGTATTCGACCTCGGAAATTTTTTTCCCAAAGCCTGATTTTTTTTTTTAAATTTTGGCTTTTGGAATGTTTTTCCGGGCAAATTTCAATTCGGCTATCAGAGAGTTCCGGGTTTGAGGGATTCCGGCTAACGGAGATATTACTGCACCAGGAAAATTTCTGGGGATGTGGGGTTTTCCAGATTTGAGAGAATTGTCTTGTTGCCCAGAAATCTCTCATCCCTGGAAGAGTTTTGCACCAATTGTTCTGGCTAACAGGGATACAGTATCACTGTACAGTACATGTTTGTAAACTGTAAACTTGTCAACATAAACTATTGTTTCAAGTATAATTTGTATTACAGCAAAATAATGAATAATTGTGGGTGGATCCTGTGTTTGTGTTACGAGGCGCTACATCACCTGTGACTGCCGTGAGCTTCCTGCTGCCACCAGAGGGAGACAAAGTGTACAAGATTGCTGCCGGCACTCAGGATGGTCGCCTACTAATCTGGAACCTAAAGGTACTGTACCTGTGTCATGGTGAACTAAACACCAGACTTCCTTCATTTCAGGATTCAGGTCATATTGTTGCCCAGATTATGAGAAATAGGAAACATTATTCCTCCTTATATTCGTTTTATTAAATTTCACATTCATCCAAGCACAGCAGTCATGGTCTTAAGTGTTTTGTCTGACCTCAGTAAGCTTGGTGGTTGGTGTTATGGTGAGGTAATAATATGTGTTAAAAAGTAGCCATGGGAGGTGTGGCCAGATATATAGTTGATGATTACATGGTGTGAATTAATATTCTTCTGTACTTTATTCAGCTTTTTTTTTTGTCAACAGACCAAATGTGTTGTTCAAGAGTGGTCAGCAAACTGCAGTTCATCTATACAATGGATATACAGTGAGGCAGCACAGCAGTTGTGGACACACCAGAGACATGGCTATGTCCAGCTGTGGGACTTAACCTTCCCCTCTCCTGAGGTCAAAGTACAGTTTGACATCAGTGATTACCTGGGATTTAGCCAGTCTCACTTCACCATATTGGATAATGGCTCAAGATTACTGGCCATACCTGGACCTGGACAGGAAGGTGTGAGTGTTTGGGATGTGGATTCAAACTACAAAATATGTTCCTTGTTGCCTCCACACACCACAAACCGTGGAAGTCTCATGCAAGCAAGATATGTAAAAGTGGCAAGAAAAGTTGCTCTTGTTGTTGCATATGAAAGTGGACACATTAGTTTGTGGAACTGGAATGAGAAAAACATCATGAGTGAAGTTGATGTGAATGAAAGTCCTATATGTTTAACTTATGATGATGAGTCTCGCATGGGCATCATTGGTACAACATCGGAAAAAGTGTATATATTTAATATTAGCAGTAATCTGATCATTAGTGTAGTCAAACACTTATTCATCACCAATGGTGGTGTTTCGTCTTGCGTGGTGCGGCTGGACGGCAAGATCTTTGTGACGGGAGGCTGGGACTCTCGTGTGCGTATATTTTCTGCCAAAAGATATAAGCCGTTGGCTGTGTTGCAGTACCACAAGAAAACAGTGGAGTGCCTTGCTTATTCTACCAGTGATGTTGAACACTTTGGTTGTGGGCTTCTCCTTGCTGCTGGTTCATCAGATAACAGTATATCTCTCTGGAATATATTTAATTCGTAAAGATATCTTAAAGGAAGTTCACCGGGATTGTCTTCTTCAGTAGTTGCAAGTAGGATCAACCACACCACAGGGGCAGATCCAGGAATATCAAAAGAGGGGGTCTAAGAAGTTGTGGGTGGGGGAACATGGCGAGCACAGCGAGCATATCCAGCTGATTTGGGGGAGGAGGGAGGACACTATAAGTCCCGCAGAATTTTTTTTGGATCTGACCAATATCATGGGCATTTTGAGACCATTTGCACTTGATATTAGGATATATTCTGAGGTCAATAGTAATTACCTTTTACCATAATTTACTATAACTGAAAGTGGAAGATGATCAGAATAAAATTATGGTTCCACTCTTTTATTTTAGAGAAATTTGCAAATTATTACATAGAAATGAAGTAGAAGTTAGTCATGCAGTACAGAACCATAAAATATCCTTCGGTCATTTTCTGAATGAACTTTTGATAAATGTTATCTTTGCCAATATCGCAGCTCTGGTGAAGGTGCACCAGCATGAGGCCAGTGAGTCGCTCCTCTGACAAGGTGGGTCACAGAAAGGATTTTGCTCTTCTGAGTCCACTAAATGATCTTACTGCTTCCAATTGGTAGTGTGCATCCTATTCTAAGCAGGTCGGCAATATTTGGAAACTGATCCCCATCCATCACCTTAAGGCAGCTAAGCAGGCTGGTCGGCAGCTGGTCAGCATTCTGCCTCTGAGAACAGAGTTACACACATTAAGATCTATGTTCTGTGACTGAAGATATCAGATACAAAAAGGACTGACACTAGCACATATAATTTAGTCATTATGAATATTATTACTGTACAGCAAAAAAGAAACATTCAATGCTTTCCAGTTTCATATCTTAATTTAACTAAACCCATTTATAAAACATACACAAAATATGGCTGTTCCCAGCTTGCATGGACAGTCTGGTAGGTGCCACATGGGAGACTCAGATATTGTATATTAATCCTGTATCTGCAATTGAAAAACAAAGCAAATGAATTATTGATATATTCACAGACCTGCCAATGGGCCATCCATTCCTGTAGCTTGTTGGTGAGGGAAGAAGGAACTAGAAGATCTGCCTCCCAAAACTTCAGCTTCAGACAAGTGTCTTCAACATCAAAGCAATTTATAGTGTTAACTAGCAGCAGGGAAAATATTGCTTGGCTCAGTTGAGTGTCTGTAGTTTTGAATATTGTTTTTATCTCAGATATAGTGTAATCAATGAAAGGGATTGCAACATTCTTTTTGAAATGTTCATATGTGGAACTTGCTGTAGCATTAGCCCTGTGTTGTTGCCTTCCTGTGATCCTTCTTGGAATCTCAATTGCACATTCAACATAATCTGCCATTTTCTCATGGACTGTGTACCATAAAGTAAACTCTGTGTCGAAATTGGACCTTATTTCTTGAAGCCTTGCAGTTGCACTTTGAACCAGTAGATAGGCTCGGTAAATGTCCTGATCTCGTTTTTGCAGTTTCGTTGCCAGAGATCGGAAAACTTCCAACGTGCTTCTCATAGTTTGGAAAACCACGATGTTGGTAGAAAACCTCATGTTGAATAAGAGTCCTTGAACTCTTACCCTGGTATCATGATCCCAAGACCAATCTTCAATTTGGTGAACATCAATACCGTCAGTGTGATTCTTTCTGTACATCACTGGGAATGAGGGTGGGTCAATAATACAGTCCAGGGTAAGTGCCACATATGAGTATAGTTCTTGAAAAGTATCAAGGCATATACAGTCGACCCTCGTTAATTCGGACCCCTTTAATCAGGATTTTGGATAATTCGGACAAAATCTGAATTTTTTTTTTTAAGGTTTGTAGGAATATTACCTCCGCGGACCTTAAGCTAAAATGCTGGTCAACCCACTCACTGCTGGGATAAAACACCAGCGTCTTTTTGGTTAAATGTAACATCTCCACCACTAGTGTGGGGGGGGGGGGAATGCAACTTTTAGCTTCAGACATGAAAAATATTTACCATTTACTGCCAGTAAACAATGGAAACGTAAAATATGTACCAATTAGTAATGAAAAGTTGTGCAGTTCCTTCAGCAAATGAAGCTCACCAACTTACAATAGGCTAAATTACCTTACAACGTGTTTTCAGTAGTCTATGTTGAAGTTCTTAGCACAGGCTAACTTATCATATCATATACGGTATCACAGTTCTCATTGATCTACAAAAAATACCGGTAATAAAAACCTTTTTGATATTTCACACTTAATATAATACCCGGTAATCTACTTCAACCTCCTATTGTTTACAACGACGCATGACGCACCACCAGCTGTTGAGTATCAGCTAGACGGTACACGTGTTTTTCGAATCGTTTTCAGTTAAAAAACTGTTACATCACATGTATATTTTACCTTAACTGTGCCTGAATGAATATATTCTTGGAAATAAATAGTAGTTTTGCTGAAACATGATGTATTTTAATGTAAAATAGGATAAAATACAGACAAAAACAAAAGATTTTACCTAACCTTCCAATGTTCAAGAGAAGTTACTCGTTTTTTTAATAGTTTTTGTTTAAAATACTGTTATATTACAATGGTATTCTATTCATACTGTGCTTGATATAATGCATTCACGGAAATGTAATATTTTTGCTGAAATGACGTACGTATTACAGTGGAAAGTGGGATAAAATCGTGACGAAAACAATGACTTTCGCTTTCTTTCATTCAAAAGATGTTACCATAATCGCTTTTCGATTGGTTTTCAGTTAAAAAGCTGTTGTATTACAATAATATTCTATCCTAATTGACTTGAATAAATACTACGATACCATATTTCTGAATATTTTCATTAAAATCCATCCAAATCATTTTCCTTGTCATCGTCTGCAGCACCAAACAGCTTCTCCCAGTCCTCTCCTTGAACAGGGCTAGAGGGTACGTGTTTTTCTAATCATTTTCAGTTAAAAAACTGTTACATCACACGTATATTTTACCTAAGCTGCGCCTGAATTAATATATTCTCGGAAATAAATAGTAGTTTTGCTGAAACGTGATTTATTTCAATGTAAAATAGGATAAAATACATGACGAAAACAAAAGACGTTACCTAAGCTTCCGATGTTCTTGAGATGTTATTCGTTTTTTTAATAGTTTTTGGTTAAAATACTGTTATATTACAATGATATTCTATTCATACTGTGCTTGATATAATACTTTCACGGAAATATAATATTTTTGCTAAATTACGTACGTATTACAGTGGAAAGTGGGATAAAATCGTGACGAAAACAATGACTGAAATATAATGCAATATTAACCCGTAAATCGGTTAATTCGGACAATCGGCTAAAACGGACACCCTTCCCCCCCTGTTAGTCCGAATTAAGGAGAGTCGACTGTACAGTGGTGCCTTGGTTAACGAACACAATTCGTTCCACAGAGTCGTTCGTTAACCTAAAATTTCGTTAACTGAATCCATTATTTCAATGGGATATTGGGTAATTAGTTCCAGCTTGCAGAAAAGTACATACAAAGTAAAGCCAAAAATGCATAAAGTCAGAAACACTCCTAAAATTTTCCTAAATCACCCTTAAATCATTATAATATATATATATATATATATATATATATATATATATATATATATATATATATATATATATATATATATATATATCATGTAAATTCACAATGAAACGTGGATAAGCTTGATCACATTTGAAATGGAACAACGGACTTTAGCTGTTTGTTCAAGACATCTTCAGAGTGCCTCTAAAGATGTCTTGAATAAAAGCGTAAAGATAAGGTACTCCGCTGTTTCCATTTTCCTGTGATTTTTATATATATATATATATATATATATATATATATATATATATATATATATATATATATATATATATATATATATATATATATATATATATATATATATATATATATATATATATATATATATATATATATATATATATATATATATATATATATATATATATACACTCGTCTATAACCCTCCCTCGTTTATAGGTTGACCCTGATTTTTTGACCAAGAAATCGTTAATTTATGATATTCCTTGTTTATAGGTCGACCCAAGTTTTTGAGGGTAATGGAACAACAAAACCTTCAGTAAAAACACTCTACGTTCTATAAACTGAGGCTCGCCGTGCCTGAAACACCGAGTGCCGAAGGCAAATTGTTTACCATTTATTATTACGACACTTTACACTGAAATGCGGGTAGTTTCAACAAAAATATTGTATATTTCCATTCAAGTATTTATTCAAGTCAATTAGGAGGGAATATTATTGTAATACAACAGTTTTTAACTGAAAACCATTCGAAAAGCGATTACGGTAACATCTTTTGAACGAAAGAAAGCGAAAGTCATTGTTTTCGTCACGATTTTATCCCACTTTCCACTGTAATACGTACGTCATTTCAGCAAAAATATTACATTTCTGTGAATGTATTGTACTGTATACTAAGAATCTCTTAGTATTACCATTTCACAAAAATTTCTCTCAAATTCCTTTACAACTAAAAACCTGGAACGTCAATGTGGCATTTAAAAACTCATGCACTGTTAAACAAATGTTAATCAAGAACTCCCCCAACAACACAATTGGTTGCATTTTTAAAGTTCCTTGCAAGGAATGTAATATGTTTTACTTAGGCCAGACAGGTAAAGATCTTGTAACTAGACTTAAACAACATAAATATAGTGTTAGGACAGGCCAGGAATCCAATGCTTTGTTTGTTCATTTGAGGGATAACAAGCATTGCATTGACTGGGATAATGCCTCCTGTCTATTACCTTGTAATTCAATTGACAGTTGGAACATTATAGAATCTTGTCTCATTAAACATACCGAAGCAGTCAACATGAATTTGAGTAATGGCATGCACAAACTGAACAATTTTGTAATTAAGAAGATTTGTAACCAGGTGAGAAGGTTGGGTCACCTTACCCTCTGACCTGACTAACGACCGTTGAGGTGCTTTTTAATGATTAGTAGGGTCATTACCTAATACCTGACCATTGTGGACCTGATCTCACCCTCCTCTGTGTATATATATACCTTGTCTTGTACTTCTCCTTAGTCTGTACTCACCCCTGAAGATGTGAATTACACGAAAGCGCTTGGGAATTTCGTGTTTTCTTTTTCCTTGTGGTTATCAGCATATATATATATACAGTAATACCCCGCTTAACGTGGTTTCGCTTAACGTGGTTTCGCTTAGCGCGATTTCACATATACGCGGTGCCTCGCCAGAGCCGAACTTTCACTTAACACGTGTTTTTTCCACGTATACGCGCAGAGTGTCCGGCTCGAGACGCTATTTTTAGATTCGCCCCACCCGCCACCCGCCTGCCTGCCTGCCTGTTTTAGCTCATAAAATTCATACAAATTACCCGGCCAGAATATAATTTACATTGCTGAAATTCTTACAATATGATGATCATTTTGAATATAAACATCATAGATTTTGCATTAGACATACAAATTTAGATATAATGTTTACTCTGAGTAAATATGTTATTTTTTGTGCAAATTATATGACATTTGTATTCAAAATATTCCTGGTCTTACAAGGAATCCAGCAATGTCAATTATATTAACCTAACTTTAGTTTGAGGTATTATTTATTACGAAAAAGGTAAATATTCTGGTTTTCCCACACTTGTGGTAGGGAGTGTTGGTGGTAGGGAGTGTTGGTGGGAGGTGTGGGGGAGGGAGGGACGGACCGACCATCTGGCACAGTGTGAAGAATATATTTTTTTTTTATTAACTGAAGATATTTGTTTTAGCTCATAAAATTCATACAAACTAACCGGTCAGAATATAATTTACATTGCTGGAATTCTTACAATTTGGTGATCATTTTGAATATAAACATCATAGATTTTGCATTAGACATACAAATTTTAGATATAATGTTTACTCTGAGTAAATATGTTATTTTTTTTGCAAAATATATGACATTTGTATTCAAAATATTCCTGGTCTTACAAGGAATCCAGCAATGTCAATTATATTATCCTAACTTTAATCTGAGGTATTATTTAATACAAAATGTTAAAATTTAGTTTTTTCACCCAACATCTCTTGAAGCGAGGATTGGTGGGGTGTGGGGGGGAGGGTTGGGACTGATCGCTCGGTTGGACGAGGGGGGTAGGCAAGGTGGGGTACTTTGATTGACGGATAGTGTCTTGAAGAATATTTTTTTTTTATTAACTGAAGATATTTGTTTTAGCTCATAAAATTCTTAAAAATTACCCGGCCAGAATATAATTTACATTGCTGGAATTCTTACAATTTGGTGATCATTTTGAATATAAACATCATAGATTTTGCATTAGACATACAAATTTTAGATATAATGTTTACTCTGAGTAAATATGTTATCTTTTGTGCAAAATATATGACATTTATATTCAAAATATTCCTGGTCTTACAATTTAGTGGTTTTCCCCCAAAAATTTCTCAGAGAGGGAAGAGCCAGCAGTGTAGTGTGAGAAGAGGGGGAGGGAGTTGAGTCCATTATTTGAATGGACATTAACTTGGCGACTGTATTTCTCTATTTCTTAAGTATTAATTGTGTGCATGTACCATCATAAAATTAAGATGTTATTTTTACTAGAACATAGGTATTGTGTCGGAAAAAATGGAGTTTGGGGGAGTCGGGCCAGTTTCTGTGGAATTAATCCCATATGTTCTGTGTTGTTCATAGCGGTTTCATAACAGGTACCCTGTAGGTTTTATTGTCAGCGTTAAGCTGAGGTACTAATGTATATATATATATATATATATATATATACCTATATATATATATATATATATATATATATATATATATATATATATATATATATATATATATA